CCAGTGATGGGGGAAGGGCTCCAACCACCCTTCATCCCGGATTCATGGGATGACCCCACTGCTTAGAGGGGCCAGCAGACCTTAGGTCTGGTTTGGGAAGTACGGTCACCATCCTGGGGACCCTCCAAAGCCCAGAGAATGGGTTCCCTCCACAAGGACAGAGGCGCAGAGCCGAGTGGGGTCAAAGTCCTTTTAGCCAGAACTGCAGGGCAGATAGAGGCACAGAGCCGAGTGGGGTCAAAGTCCTTTTAGCCAGAACTGCAGGGGTCAAGGTTTCTCTCCACTAACTGCCCTTGGAGCTGAGATATGGCTGCTGGGGCGGGTAGAGTGGGCAGGGCAAGTTGCTGAGGTTGCGGTACACAGGACACTCCAACCCCTGAAGACGTGCCCATTCTGATTTAAACATCTTTTTTTCACTTACTTATTTGTTGTATGTAACAGGCAAAACGACAGAGAGAGAGAGAGAGAGAGAGAGAGAGAGAGAGAGAGAGAATCTCCCATTCACTGTTTCATTCCCCAAATGCCTGCAGTAACTGCGGCTGTGCCAGGTCAAGGCCAGGAGCCCAGACTCCAGCCAGGTCTCCCACATGGGTGAACCATCCCGTTGCTTCCCGGGGAGTGCGTCAGCAGGAAGCGGGTGCCTGGACCACATGCAGAACCAGGCCTGAATCCCGGCACTCTGGGATGGGGTGGGGAGTGCTCCCCAGTGGTGCCAACACTGCTTTGGAGGCGGAGCTTGCATTTCGTGGGTGTTACAGCAAAGTCAGCTGGGAAGGGGGAAGTGGAGCTCAGCACAGACTTTGGGGGTAGCATTTTGGCATTAACATTTAAACTATTCCTGCCTTCTGGATTCGGCACTCGGGCCTCTGAGGATATAAAAAGAGACACTTCAGTAATGAAGGCGTACTTAAGCCTCACTTGGCGGCAGGCGCTCAGCCTGACCTAACCGTGGCCGCAGCTCTCACTCCCTGACCCTAGGTGGCCGCAGTGATGCCCCCTGGAGTCGGGTTCCCGCCACCCACGCGGGAGTCCTGAATTTCCAGTTCCTGCCTCCCCCCTCCCCTGCCCCCAAGCATTGCCGGAATTTGGGGAGTGAACCATCTGATGGGAACACACTCTCTCTTTGCCTTTCATATACATAAAACACTTTTTTTTAAATCACTGGAGGACAGACATGACTCAACTGACTATCCATGGGTACACACGCTTGACCGCGCTATGGTTCGGCAAACAATGGAGACCACGCTGGGACGGCGAAGGACACAGATCTGTGAGCACCGACGGGCCGTTTCTAAGGCACACAACTACTGACGGCTCTAAGACATTGTCACAGAGACCTGCACACCGTTATGCTCAGCTTGTCAGGCGAAACTTGGAGAAGGAGTGGAGGTGAGATTGTGGGAACGTTTTGTTATACACCCATTCAGTTCGCTACAAGTCACATAACATGCATCAACTGAACACACACACACACACACACACACACACACCCAAGCAGCCAGGGCAGCTGTGCCTGTGGGCTAGGCACTCTTCCTCCTCGCTGGTGCTGGGGCAGTGGAGCCCCGGGACTTCCTCGGGGGCCCCTGGGCTGGGGTCCCTGGTCCAGATGGGCGCTGCAGTTTGCACCTGTAACTGCCCTCCCCTTGCAGACTGTTGGTTTTCCCCAGAAGTGCCACAGCACTCAGCATCATGTCCAAACACTCACGGAGGGCTCCCCGTGTGGCCAACATGGGGCTCCTGGCTGGGAGCCAGGGGGCTGGGCACCGCGTCCTGCTGAACTCACATCCCCGTTCCCCAGTTGGCTGTGGCGTGGACAACGACTTTCCACACTCAAGCGAACACAGCAATGGATCCTGTTGCTGCGCTCTACAGACAGCAGAGGGTCACCTGCAGGAGGGGCACGAAACCTGAGGCCTCCTGGGAGCCCGAGTGGCTCTGAGGAGCTGGGCCTTCCCAGGGCTGATGGGGAGGGCCTATGGTCCCCTGGCTTGCCTGAGCCCGCCGGCAGCAGAGACCGTCCGAAGGCACGCAGTGTCCCCGCCCTGGGCAGCGGGCATCGAGCAGCGAGCCTGCTCCCGGCACAGCGGCACTGCCAATGGCGGCGGTGAGGCTGCTGCGTGCGGCTGCAGGGCTTGCTGGCTTTGGCTTTGCACAGGTCTGGTGACTCATCCCATGCCTTCCCAGGCAATGACCAACTTTCAGATGTCACAGCCAATCTCACCACTGCGGCAAACTGCTGGCAGGGTCGCAGGCAGGTGGCAGGCCGGCTTCACTGAGCCACCCCCTGAGACTAAGGGACAGGCGGCTGGGTGGCCGAGGGCGATCTGCACACCTGCGGGAGAAGCCGCTGCTGCAGAAGAGGCGCAGTAGCACGGAAGCAACAGTGGTCACATTGGGGCGGGCAGGGAAGGGGTGCCGCGAGCCGCTGCCTTGTGATGGCGGGGGTGAGAGTGGCCAGGTAGGAACAAAAGTAGCTCTGTGTCACAGCAGTGCCCATCTTGGCCTCACAGTGCTTTCCAGAAACCAGCTGCAGGGGCCTCAGGTGAAAACAGGCTGCCAGAGCAGCCCCAAGGCTCCTGGGGATCCCCCCTGCCCCCCGCCATTCCTCTCCCCTACTCTGCTTCAGCCATACTGCCCCTGGCTCTTCCTGAAGCCTGCCAGACCTGTGTCACCTCTGGGCCTTTGCACCTGCTCTCCCCCAGATTACCTCCACGCTGTCCCTTCCCCCCCTCCCGTCTGCACTCACACGTCAGCTTCCCGGGGAGGCTGTCTCTGTGTGCACCGCACTCCTCGCGCCTGCCCCAGCACCCATCACCACGGGACAGTGCCTCTCTTCCTCTCCGTCTCCCTGTGCCGCGGTACAAGCTTCCCTGAGGAGAGGGTTGTGTGTGTCCGGGGTGCTGCTGTGCTCTCTGCAGCATCTGGCACACAGTAGGTGCTTAATCAGTGGCGGTCACCGCCTGGGACTTGCTTTCCTGCCCTCCTGACCCTGGCACATGTGCTCTGGAATGAGGCCGGGAGGGCAGAGCCACAGGGAGGTGAGGGGACGGAGGAGAGCGAGCCCGATGCAGGAGATTAGGGGCTGTGGAAGCTGTGTGCGGAGAGGCGATAAGGAGCGAGGCCAAAGCGCGGATTTCTGGTGGAACCACAGAGGGCTGGCAGAAGGCAAGCCTGTGCCAAGAGGAAGAAAAACAGAGCAGAGAGGAAGCCTTCCAGAACTCGCAGCAAGTCCGACCTGAACAAGCGGGCGACGCTCGCGCAGAGGCCGGGGCTTGGTGCAGCCGCTGTTTTGGGACCTGCCCGTCTCCTGCAGCAACGCCATCCCCCATGGGCCAAGGGGGCTGCGGGCAGCAGGCCTGGGAAGGGAGGGCAGAGCAGGGGGACAAGGCCAGGCAAAAGAGAGAGTGAGTGACACGGGGGAGTCACGTCCCAAGTGACGAGGGAGGAGGTCAAAGGTGAGCACCAGAGAACCTCCGTGGGAGAGGTGGTTTCAGGGCACCTGGAGGGCCAGCAGCAAGAAGGTGGGCGTGGCTCCTGGGCTCCATCAAGCAGCGATGTCACTTCCCTTGGAGTTCTGTGCCACCTGACATGCAAGTTTAGTGATTTACCATCTTACAGTTTTCAAGCTCTTTCCCAAGAACCTTGAAAGAATTATTTAGTAATTTCTTTTTTTCTTTTTAAAGATTTATTTATTCAAAGTCAGAGTTACACAGAGAGGGAAGGAGAAGCAGAGAGAGAGAGAGAGAGAGGTCTTCTATCTGCTGGTTCACTCCCCAATTGGCCACAACGGCTAGAGCTGCGCCGATCCTAAGCCAGGAGCCGGGAACTTCTTCTCGGTCTCCATGCAGATGCAGGGCCCCAAGCACTTGGGCCATCTTCTGCTATCCCAGGCCATAGCAGAGAGCTGGGTTGGAAGTGGAGCATCCAGGACTCAAATTGGTGCCCATATGGGATGCTGGCACTGTAGGCAGTGGCTTTACCTGCTACACCACAGTGCCGGCCCCTAGTAATTTTAAAAACCCTAATAATTGGGCCAGTGTTGTGTTATAGCTTCCACATGCAACATCAGGAAACCATATGGGCACCAGTTCAAGTCCCGGCTGCTCCACTTCCTGATCTCATTCCCTGTTAATCCAGCTCCCTGGGGAAGCAGCAAAGGCTGGTACAATTAATTCGGCCCCTGCACCCATGTGGGAGACATGAAAGAAGCACCTGGCTTTGGCTTGGCCCAGCCAAGCTAGGAGGAAGCTCCTAGCTCCTGGCTCAGGATTAGCCAAGCTCCAACTGTTGTGGCCATTTAGGGAGTGAACCATCAGATGGATAACCTCTCTCTCTGTCTCTCCTTCTCTCTGTCTGTAACTCAAATATATAAGTAAATCTTTTAAAATAAAATAAAATAAAGAAGAGGTGATTTACAGTGGTAGGCATTTGAGGCAGCAGTTCAGACAACGCTTGGGATGCCTGTATCCCACACCAGACAGCTTGGGTTCAAGTCCCAGATGTGCTTCCAATTCCACCTTCCTGCAAATGCACACCCTGGGAGCAGCAGGTGACGGCTCAAGTACTTGGGTCCCTGCCTCCCGGGGGGAGACTCAGAGTGAGTTCCTGGCTCCTGACTTCAGCCTGGCCCAGCCCTGGCTGATGTGGGCATTTGGGGAATGAGCCAGTGGATGGAAGATCTCTCTCTCTCCCTTTCTCTTGTTTAGCCTTTCAAATAGTGCTGCGTCCATGAATCAGTGGCATCAGCCCACTGGTAATGCAAACCCTTGGCAGTCTGACCCATCGCCTGGACATCCATCTTTCTCATGGAGAGGAAGAGAGCACTCCGATAATCAGGGCAGTTCTGTGCACACAGGAGTTGCAGAGGGAGCAAAAGACCAGAGCCCAGAAGGACAAATACAGGGCTTAGCCTTCTGGGGAGACCCACCCGGCTGGGCCCAAGCCTCCTCACCTCCATGGCTGTCCATCTCCATGCCAGAAGACCAGATTCAGAGCTCGGGTTCTTTCCAGCCAGGATCCCTTTATTCCGTTTTGCACGTTCTGGTGACCGTTCCCCTCTCCTCCCCACCTCCGTCTGCTCTCCCCAGTCTGGGATGCCTGGCTCCGCCAGTGCCCACGGCACAGGAAGGACAATCTCGGCACGGAGCAGTGCGGCGTGCAGGCTGTGTGGGTGGCCACGGAGGGAGAGCCCACTCATCAAACGCCGCCAGTCAGGTCAGAGCACACGCCCACCAGCCAGCTCCCACCAGAGGCCCTCTCTCTCTGAACGCTACAGGACAGGGACAGATGTGCAGATGGAAGAGGTCTGTCCCCTTTTATCTTCTAACTGCACGGGCTTCGGGCTGGAAGCAGGATGGCAACGTAGATGCATGAGGTCACTTGGAGACCCACGTGACCAGCATCACAAAGCCACCTCCAGCGTCAGCCACAGCGGGACCACCTGCTGGAAGATGCGCGGGGAGGGGCCTTCCCTCCCCCATGTGCCCTGCGCTGCGCCTAGGGCAGGACCACGATCTTCTTCTCCAGCTTCTGTGGGGGGAACAGGAAGTTCCTCATGATCTCGTCCAGCTCCTCCAGGGCCAGCTGGGCGTGCAGCTTGGCCACGTCATCGGGCTCCGCGCGCACCACGTGCTTCAGCAGCTGGTAGAGGTCCTTGAGGACGTCCCTCAGCACCTGCGTGAGAGAGGCGGGGTGGTCAGTGCCTGTGTGCAGAGCCCCCGACCCAGGAGTTCCGGGAGGAGGCCCCAAGCGTAGGCGGGGTCGTCAGTGCCTGTGTGCAGAGCCCCCGACCCAGGAGTTCCGGGAGGAGGCCCCAAGCGTTCCCTTAGGAAGACAAGGCGCTCTGAGGCGGGAGAAGGTGGCGGTGGCTGCAGCCCTGGAGCCGAGGGAGGCTCTCTGTGCCGCTTGCTCATCCCTGCTGCCGCACTACCTAGCCTCTGGGGCTGCTGCTGCGCTTGGCTCCCGGTCCCTGTCCTTCAAAGCATGGCAGGGACTCGGCACCACACGCAGGCAAACCTGCCCAGACCTGGTGGTTCCCAAACCAACCGCTTGCTAGCAGCTTCCTCCCTGGACCCCCACCACAGCCTCGCGACACCCACACACCAGGCCTGGGCCCTGTGACACCCCAGAGGACGCTCTTTCTTCCCCCAGCCGCTGCTCGGAGCACCCCCCCAACCCCGCCTGCGTTTCCATGCCCGCCCCCCACCATCAGAAGGAGTGAGCGCTCCCTCCCATCTCAGGACCTCAGAGGGGCCGGGCGAGATGCCAGAAGCTCGCCCAGAAGCGCTGCTCCCTAGAAAAGCCCCCTGGCTTGGGAGCCAGGACTGCTGGCAAGAAACAGATTTTACACCTGCAACCGCATTTCACGTCCACACTCTTCACAACTGCCGAATCAACTGCGCGTCCCCGGGCGGCCGAGGGAACCCTGTTACACACACACAGCGGGATACTATGCAGCCACCAGGAAGCGTGGACTCCTGCCACTTACAGCAGCGTGGCTGGAACTGCAGGACACTGTGTTAAGAGAGGTGACTCCGGCGCAGGACGACAAACACTGGGCACCGGTGTTGTGCAGCAGCAGGTTAAGCTGCCGCCCGCAACACCAGCCTCCCATATCTGAACGCTGGTTCAAGTCCTGGCTGCTCTGCCTCCGAACCAGCTCCCCGCCAACACGCCTTGGAGGCAGCAGAGGAAGGCCCAAGTACTTGAGCTCCTGCTACCCACTGGCGGCTTGCATGGACGTCCTGGCTCCGGGCTTCAGCCTGGCTCGGCCCTGGCTGCTGCAGGCATTTGATGACTGAACCAGTGGATGGAAGATCTCTTAGTCTCTCTCTGTGTCTCTCCTTCTGTCACTCTGCCTTTCAAATAAATACACTATTTTTTTTTTTTTAATGGGACTGGCATTGGAGACCCAGATGGAGTTCCAGGCTCCTGGCTTTGACTGGGCCCAGCACTTCTAATTCCATTTTAATGCAATTCATTTTAATTCCATTTTCTATAAACTTTGGAGTACTCTCATCCGTGAAAGTTAATAGGTTGATCTTAGAGAAGAAGCGAATAGAACAGTGGTTAGCCGGCCTGGGAAGGATCAGGGAGGTGGGATGGTGAGAGTGGTAAGGGTCTGGGGTGCAGGCAGAAAGCAGCAACAACCCCCAGTGTCCCACAGCACTGGAAGAGACCTGTGCTGACAGAGATACTGAGTGTTTCTAAATAGCGCCCTGAGAAGATGTTTGAGGTCCCCAACACAAAGAAATAACCATGTCTGAGGCGACAGATAGGATAGTTATGCCAATTACCCTGACCTGGTTGTTACACATTATACAATGTAGTAAAATGCCACATTATACCCCATAAGTGTGTGTAATCACTACGCATCACTTAAACAGTAATAATTACAGGCAGGCATTGCGGTGCAGTGGGTTCAGCCACCATCTGGGACAGCTGCGCCCGTATAAGACTGCTGGCTCCCGTCCAGCCCTCTGCTTCTGATCCATTCTCCTGCTAATGCATCTTGTGTAGCAGCAGATGACGGCTCAAGCGCCATCCACAGAGACTCGGGTAGATTTTCTGGGCACTTTGTCTCTCTGCCTTTCAAAAAAAAAAAAAAAAAAGTAAGGCACCCAGACTCAGTTTCTCAGAGAACACTCTTTCTTTTTAATTAATTTTCTTTCTCTCTTCCTTTCTTTCTCTCTCTCTCCCTTTCTCTCTCTCCCTCTCTTCTCCTCCCTCCCTCCCTCCCCCCTTTCTCTCTCTCTCTCTCTTTTGTTCTTTTTTGCCAGACAGAGATCTTCCATCTACTGGTTCACTCCTCAAATGCACACCCATAGGCAGGGTTGGGCTAGGCTGAAGTCAGGAACTGGCAACTCCTATGTTAGGTGGCAGGGATCCAAGCACTTGGGCCATCACTTGCTGCCTCCAGGGTACACATTAGCAAGAAGCTGGAATTGGAAGCAGAGCCGGGACTTGAACCCAGGCACTCCAACATCTGCTATGGGCTGTATGTGTCCCAAGAGGCATCCTGACCTCTGTGCCCAGCGTCCCCCCTGGATGTCATTCTCATGAGGAACAGCCCAGTGCTTACAAGCACACACACACACACACATTGCTTTTCCTTCTCCTTTTTAAGCACAAATTATATTCTACATTCCTATGTGCCACGATACTTCCTCTTCACTTCCAAGAAGATTTTGGAAATCTTTGTGTAATTGGCATATGTAAAAATAACTCACTTGACAGACATGGAGAGAGTTTCTACTCACTGGCATCACCACCAGATGCCCTCAACAGCTGAAGCTGGACAGGGATCAAAGCCAGGAGCTCACAACTAAGTTCAGGTTTCCCACGTGGGTGGTAGAGACCCACATATCAGCACACGCACTGGCAGGAAGCTGGATTGAGCCAGAGTAGCCAGGACTTGAATCAGGCTCTCCAATATAGGATGCAGGCATCCCAAGTGGTGGCTTAACCCACTGTGCCATGACACCTGTCCCCAGCTTCAGCTCTTGTTCCTGTCAGCCCTTTCTATTTATCAGTAACTCAAAGGTAGAGCATCAGTAGATTAACGTGTTATGTTTCAAGAAGCAGAACAGGGGCAGGTGTTTGGCCTAGCAATGAAGATTCTGATTAAGATACCGGCATCCCATGTCAGGTGCTTGGGCTCCATGCCCTGGTGTGGTTCCTGACTCCAATCTCCAAAAAAGGCAGATTCTGGGGGGCAGCAGTGATGGCTCAAGTGTTTGGGTTCCTGACACTGTGCAGGAAACCTGGATGGAGTTCCTGGCTCCTGGTTGCTGCAGACATTCGCAGTGTGAACCCGCGAATGGAAGAACCCTGTCTCTGTCTTCCATATAAAATGAAAACAAAAAGCCTAAAACCAAAAAGACTATGGAAGAAAGAAAACACTCTGTATTTTAGTAATAGTAATGATGCTTCCTTTTTAAACAAGTGATTCACATTTTAATTTTGCACTGAGCCCCACGTGCCACGCGATTGTGCCACGTGACCCAATGGGCACCCGTGCCCTGGGAACAGCCCTGCCGAGGCTGCCGTCTCCCTCCTCCCCGCTTCTCCCCTAGGCTCTCGCAGAGCCAGCTGTCTGCCTCTTACCATGGCCCTGTCCCCACTGTCCTTCCAGGATGCGCCTTTGGGAGAAGAAGTCCTACCCTGGGGGCTGCGGTGTGCTGACTCCCACAGCCACCGCCTGGGGACTACTCAGCCAGGCTCCATCCCAAGGGGCCGATGTGTGGCCAGGGCAGCGGCTGCCCAGCCAAGGATGGCTGATGCCCCCCCACCCCCAACCACGGCCTGGGGGAGGCAAGCACGGGGGTCCCACAGGAGCCATCTGCAGGCGGGCAGAGGAAGGGCGACACTGGGGCTGCACGCGCCTCTCCCCACCCTGTGCCAGCAGCCAGCGTGAGGGCACCCAGTCCCCTGGCCCCAAGGCCACCTCAAAGAAAGGCAGTTTCTATGCAAGACCAGCTTATATCGCCAAGTCTCCCGCCACCTCTGCAATGGATGGGAGCCCAGCGTCTGACAGGCAGGCGTCCCGGAGCTCCCAGTGTTTGGCACAAGGTTATCTTTTTGGAGAAGTCTTTCATCTAGGCAGAAATAGCTTAGAATTTTTTTTCCTTGCTAGAGTCTCCTAACGTTCCAAGTACAGTGAAGTTAGCCTGTACCTGTCACAGGGGAACTCTGGGGTGTTCTGTTCTTCCCTGGAGAGGGTAGGAATGGCCCCCTCAGCGCACCCGCCACAGCCATAGCCTTAGCCTTAAAGCAACAGTGCCTGTGCAAACACCGCTTCAGACCTGCTGGGCGCGGAGCTCCTGTTCTCAGCACCCGGATCTCCTCCTTTAGCTAGCCAGTGTTGAGAAGGCTCCTTCTTAATTACCGGGTCTAACTCAGCAACCCACCCACCCTGGTGCAGCTTTCCCCAATCCCTGTAACTCCGGGAGCCCACACATCACAGGACTTCCTCTGGACTCCCCAAGGATCAAAGCTGCCCGCCAGCCAGGGATCGGCACCAAATCCCTCGGATCAGGGGCTGAAGACAAGGAGAGTTCAAAGGTAAAGTTACTCACAGGAGTCTCTGTGGTGGGCAGGATGCAGGCAATCCCATGGAGGAAACCTCTCATTAAGAGTTCAGCACACCTGCCACTCATCCCCCACCGCATCAAGGCCAAGGACAGGTGGAGGGGCGGGGTGGGGGGCCATCCAGAGGGGAGCTTGCTGCACTCACGCTCATGGCAGCAGGTGAGGGACGCAGACATTTTCACCATCAGAGGCCCCAAGGCCACAGATAGCTTTCTTTTCTTTTCTTTTTTCTTAAGATTTATTTATTTATTTGAAAGGCAGAGTTAGAGAGAGAGTGCGCTTCCATCTGCTGGTTCCAGACCGAAGCCAGGAGCCTGGAACTCCACCTGGGTCTCCCACGTGGGTGGCAGGGTCCCAAGCACTTGGACCCTTTTCCGCTGCTTCCCCAGGTGCATTAGCAGAGAGATGGATGGGAAGTGGAACAGCCGGGACTCAAGTGGTGCTCATATGGGATGTCGCTGTCGCAGGTGGCAGCTTAACCCGTTGCACCAGCCAGGGATATCTTAAAGGACCCCGATTCCCAGTCTGAAAACTCTTTGGAAGGAGATGAGTTTCAGGTGTTTTGTGAAAGGAATGCAGAAAGA